TCAGAAACTATTGGTATGATTCACAAACACAATACACTGTGTATTGCTAATATGCCAGGGCAACGGTGAAGATATGAGAACCATTTTTAATGCTGAGAGGCTGCACAGAGTATCTGTTATCCATTGTTTGCACTTCTTGTATCAAAACTGAAGTTCAAACTATGAATTTATAACAGTGAAATGACATTAAGTTAAGCTACAAAGTATTTCTCATTGCTCTCAAGCTGTATCAGCACTAAAGAAGATCCATTGCTTGAGCTATTTGAAGAGGAACCAAGGCCATTTTACAGACCTTCCACAAAAAAAAAAAAAAAAAAAATTATATTTACGAGCATTGCCATTGCAGTTGTGCCAGTCCTCTAAATGCTCATATGCTTTCTGGTAAGCAGTTGCACAAGTCACATTAAATTTTTAAATTTTCCTTGAAACGGAAAAAAAAAAAAGAAAGAATTAAAAGAGTTTTTTTCTGCTGGAACTACTTCCAACAAAGTTACTAAGAAAATAGCCTAGGAGCAACTGCAGACACAGATTAATGAAATCAGGGTGTAGCATGGTTTCTCAGAGATGGTTTCTGCAGAAAGAAAGTACAGAAGATGCAGACATTTCTGTACTGCTAGTATCGTATTAGGTAGTGGTTTATTCTGTCTATTCTAAAATACTTTGTGTCTGACCCATTACTTCCACATGAGTTCAGCAGTATGCATTATATCAAGGAGAGTTCAGAAAATCGACATTTTTTTCTGATCTGTTCATTCCTTACTTTCACTAAACAGCAAGAGGAAAATCCCCAATTTTGAAAGGAATATAATAAAAGTATGTAAAATGTCCTTCCAGATAAATATAAGTAAATATAAATGTCCATCAATTTGTACTATGATTACACATTTTACTATGTGTAATGCTCAAGAGCCGACAAAGAAGAAAACAGGGATTGTACAATGCTAATATAGTTTAACTTTATAATGCTGCCCTTGGAAGGATGTATTTTACACACCTCTTAACTTACTATTATTGAAATGAGTGAATTTGTGGTTGTTATTAACCTAATAGTAATAAAGTTGCTTTCAAACCTCAGCTGTAATCAAGACCTTGTGGATTCTGAGCCAAGGCACTTAACAATCAGATCAACTGGAGAATAAATCAGATCAATTTGTGAGTAAAGGAAGGAATGGAAACCTAATCTCTCATATGATTAAAACAGAGTAGTAACAATAACAAATACACAGTATCAACTGTAAGAAGGATTAATTTAAATAATCTGTATATTCTGCATAATAATTAAAAAACTGAATTAAAATTATTTTACTCTATTTGAAATAACTATAATCCTTTTCTCTCGCTTCCTCCACCTCTTCTGCAGTGTTCTGTGTAAGGTATCCTGGAAGAGAAACTCGTCTTAATGAGCCTTTTGCAAAAGACATGACAAGCATGGTTAATGAAGTTACAAGTGTTTTGTTAAAAGAACTTCAAGAAAAACCATTTGCATTTTTTGGTCACAGGTAAAAATATATACATTTTTAGATACCTTGGTGAAGGAGCTTCTATCTCTGAACTCGTTGAGTAGACAGTTACTTGTTTTTATATGCAAAAATTTTAGGAAAATATGCTTGTGCAAAGATCTTTTGTCAAGTCATCCCAAAACATGCTGTTGTTCTAAAAGACTCTGGTTATTTATTTATTGCTTCAGGCATAACATCTGAACATGTTGTGTTTCTGATAAATTATAATTTATTATGGCATTTATTTTTAATATTTGTGTCAGTTCTTGATCTATATGAATTTGTGAAACACAGATTTTGAAGATCGCTTAGTCCAAAGTATTCAAAATAACTGTTCTTATTGCAAATTAAGGAGACTACTAAAAGAAAGAATAAGAAAAGGTTTGATTTGTAAAACTAGACTGTGTAGGAATACACTTCATGTCAATTAACGAATATCATTATAATTTATATGTCATATATGGCTTCAGTAACTATTCAAGATATCCACTTAGCACTGAAATTTAAACTATGTTTAAATTTTCCAGGTTTTATGTATGTTTTTGCTTACTTTGCTTTAATTTCTCCTTTCACTACAGTTTTGGATCTTACCTGAGTTTTGCAGTGGCACTACATTTGAAAGAAAAGTATGGACTAGAGCCGGTCCATCTTTTTGTGTCAGGGGCACATGCCCCAAATGTAAGTTGCAGAATCATTAACAATATGAAACAAAACAGTACATTAGCTATCAAGAGTAAAAATAACATTTGACAGTATGGCATGAGAATTACTTTTAATACAAAATGAGCATTGCTTCAGAATCTATGGAGAAAAGTTTTTTCTTAGAGGAAATTAATTCTGAGGTGGATGCAGAAATTTGCACTACACAATATTCACTGCTGCTAGCTGACCTTAGCCTCAGGAGAACAGTCTCCTTGAGCTAATGCTACATTTTTTGAATACTGTGTTATTTACTATGGCTTTTGGCTTAAAATTAAAAAAGTAATCAAAGCAAAATACTAAGTGGCTCTCTCTTCTCTGTAACATGTGAAATAACTGTCTTAACCTAGTCTTTTATAAACCACCTGCATCAGCCTTCAGTACATTTGTCCATTTATTTCTTTCCCTCATTCTTTGTTGGATTTTTAATCAGTTTCTTCTCAGGTTCTGCTGGTTCTGCTAGTCTTTCTCAGGAAAACAGCAGTGAAGTGGCTTTTTCCCAGTCCTCCTGTCCTCAGTCAGCATTTGCTATTTCTGTTCTTCTGTTTCTGGGGCTTCTTAGCAATCCTTAGTCCTGCAAATTTCCATAATCAGTTGGTCTCTTCAGTCCTACATTAGTCAGGTTTATGTCCACTGCTAGGCTTTTCTTTCTCTTAAACAGATTATTTTATTAGGTGCATTTCAATAGTAAGAGTCGAACTTGAACAAAATTGAATTAATGGTTATTTGTCTGTGGAAGTTTCAGACCTGGAAGATATTTGGCTCAGTCATAATTTACTAACCCTTTCCAAGAAGTGTTCTCTGCGGATGTTAAATTAATCAGCCATTGTATTTCGGAGATGAAGAATTATTGTACTTTTTACTAAAATGATTTTTAATGAAAAGATAATTTAAAGTATATTATATACAACACCTCATTTGTTTTATCTGGTACTGACAGTCTGAAGCAATTCTTCCAATCAAAAGCATTTCTGTATCTGATGCAAAAGATGAAGAAGTTATTGAATATCTACAAAATGTAGGAGGAACTCCTTCTGTGCTTCTCCATAACGAAGACATTAGGAAAAATCTGCTGCTTACTTTTAAAGAAGACTTCAGAGTGTTTCAGACATTTTCGTAAGTTTTACAATTTTGTATTACATTTGTATTTTACATTTTTACTTCTGTCTGATCATGTGAGGTTTTTTCTTTCTTCATATTTTGTTCTCATTTCTGTTATAAAAAGATTATGAAACAGTAAACAGTTCTCTCCTTTGTGTGTTTTTCTATTTGTTTTCTGGTATTTAAGCCCTAAATGAAAACACTGCTTACTGTATCAACCACTGCAGCAGCAAACTGTTACTGCAGTAGTGAATGTGTCATGGTAGAATTACAATTATACTGAGGATCCACAGTTAACAGCCACTAAAAGGGAATATTCTCTCATCTTTTATTGTTTTCTGAGGCTACTAATCTCAGCTGATCATGCTTCAGGATCACTGCATTCAGCCTCCTGATCCAAGATCCCCTAATCTAACCAGAAGCAGAGAGTCCCTGTGTTCTGGGCACCTTGAGAGCAAACAGCTTCTTCTGTCCTAACTTCTCTCCCAACTGGATGTTACATGACAGCCAACGTGGCTGAGTTGTTAAGGTTTCTTACCTTGGCAAAGACAACGATACTCTTGGATGTGGGACCCATTTTGGTCTTAGGAACCTGACACTGAAAGGCCCTGAAACATTAGAACTTGAATATAAGCAGGTAACATGATTGTTTATGGTAGGTGAGAATTTTTATTGCAGGCTGAAGCTCTTTTTCTCCCCTAACTATCGGGTCATTCTTTCTTTACAATTTTAGACCTAATTGAATAGGGCAAGGAGCTAAGAACCTTCCAGATGTGGTAATTTCTTCTGATGTTCTGCATAATCTAATTCCTGAAGTTTGTTAGATTTTGGACGAGAATAAAAAAGTTATTTTGTATGTGGAAGCAAATTCCAAATATGGGTATCTTATTGAATGTTTTAGGACTACTTTTTATGTTCACAGTTTTGAGAAGGCAGAAATGGATATCCCCTTCTCTTGTGATATTACCTGCTTTAATGGGGGTGATGATAAACCATATGATTTACAAGGTACTTTTCTTAAATGGTTTTCCTCTTATACTTACACATTTTCCTGTTGAATTGCATCTTCTAGAGTCTTTTATCTCCTTCTTAAATGAGACAGAGCAGTCTCAATGTTGATATAGGATTTAAAATAATTGTTAAATAATAATTTTGAAATAGTTATGTAAAATTGTAACAATCGTTGACATTTTTCTGACATATCTTTTTCAGGTTGGCAAGAACTAACAAGTGGAGATACATCCTTTTATGAGCTTCCTGGAGGTCACTTTTATCTGCTAGAACCCTCTAATGAAATTTTCTTGACAAAACACATAACAAGATGCATAGAAAATGCCGGTCTGTGACTATTTCCCTCAATTTTAATAGCAGAAGGTGTAATATTAGTCCACAGCACTTCATAAGTCATTATTTCTGCATGCAGTTATGCCTGAGTTGTTGTTTGTCCTCTGTAATCCTTTAAAAGGGGGAGTTTCCTGGGTTTTTCTGAAAATAAACATTGGCTTTGTCTTAAAAAAACAGGTTTCATCTTTTCCCTCTTCTCATCTTGCATGTGCACAAACTCTTCACTTCATTCCATAACCTCATTTGAAAAAAATGACAGCTATGTTATTTTACTTGTAGAGCTTCTGTTTGCCTGCTCCTGTAAAAATGCTAAATATAATTTACTACCCACAAAAATCCACAATTCTTACAGAAAGCTTAATTTATTAGGTTCAAATTTATTTAGAATAAGATACAATCTAAAAATAGAGTATGTATATAAATACCCTTTACAGTCAGCTTATGCTTAAAAGATATTAGTCAGACTACACAAGGAGTTAGTATTGCAGTGTTCTCAACAGAGTTAGTTCACTAGCTACTAAAGAGTTAATTATTAGTGGGAATTACTTTGAATACTCTAGATCCCGTATTTTTCTACCATTGCTTTTGCTTTAGAGATATAGGCATTCATGGCATCCTCCTTTGATAAACCTGTAAAGGAAAGTAGGAATCATTATCTTTCCTCATTTGTCCTCTAAACATGACTACATGATGTAAATTTAATTGGTTTAACACCTTTTTTCAGGTTCCATGCCTCCCATTTGGCTTTGCCTTTCAAATCTAGCATTCCTGGACATTCTGCCAAAATAAATGCATACGTTTGATTATCATGCCGATTTACATAACATCAGCTTGATTTCATCAAGGTATGGGAGTAAATGTGAAGCATATGTAGGAATACCAATATTAATATCTCCAACGGTAGCCTGTTTGTAGAATCCATATAGTTCCTTCAGTTCTTCATCAGTTGGTCTTGTTTTTAATTTTTTTACATCTTCTGCAGCACCATCAAAGTCAGCCTGGTGAAAGAACAGAAAGTGTTGGTTTTCCTCTCAAGGAGTGTGCTTAAAACATGAGGCACAGGGCACACAGTAGTATCATTACATATTCTCAGTCACTTGCTTGGGTTTAGTGGTAAGTCAGGGTGTTTATCCATGGGAGAAGCTTAATGAAACTGTACATCGTTAGAAGAGGAACTAGGATTATATAGCTGATAGGGTCTGTACTTCTAAGATAAATAAACAATTTTACATCTAAACACTTGGAACCATTACAGACTGTCTAGTGTCAGAATAGCTACAGATATATTCATGCAGGCAGCCTCCACAATTTATGTAGTGCGTGTCTTTCACAGTCACACTGTGGGTATGAAGGTGTTCATTGAACTTTACACCCCAGCAGTAATCTCTGCTTCCATAGTGTTGATTCGAGTGGTGGAGCTTGAAAACCCTCTGAGGGGCACTGCCCACTTCACCCTTCATTTCCATGGCTCTGCTGACAGCATAGTAGGTGATCAACAGCTGGCACAGAGACACCTCACGGGGATGAGCAGTGCTACTGCCAGGACCACCTTCCACACCCAGCTCTCAAACACAGTGGAGCACAAGAGTGCACTGTAAATTTACTCCTTTCATCATCATGCATCACACATTCACATCAATCTGAGGCCATATAGTAAGTCTTGGGCTAGACTTTGGCGTTCTGTCTCATGTTCAGGACATTTCAGAGAGACAGATTTCATACAGTGACCACTGACCCATCAGGTCACTGCACTACTCCAACACAAAAAGGTATAGGTACTTTCATATGCTATATGCTGGTTTCAATAATTAGTTTAGCTTTTAAGCTAATCCGCATTTGCAGAAGCAAACTATATCCTGCAAGATGTGCTATGACACACACACACACACACACACATATATATATAAAATGTAAAAAAAAAATCTTAAAACTTGGGTCTTAAAATCAGCAACATATTCAACATTGGTTTCAGCATGTATGCTGTGGCTCTGTTTAAATCATTGAGATCCTAGTATTACCTCAGAAGTCTGTACTGTGCTTCTTTGGACCACCTTTTCCCTTAGTTATAGGAAAGACTTTTTTTTTTTTTTTTTTAATAAGAAAACCTAATGCACGTTTGTCTCCTTAACTGATGCCTTTCTCCTTGGCAACCGACTGTGCTGGGTGGATCAGGTGATAGAAATAAGCAAGTATGAATGAGAGCTGGACTCACTATAGCATTCTTTATTTAAACAGAGAAAAAGTACAAGAGAAAGACTATTTCTGGTTTTAAATCTAAGAAGAAAAAATTAGAAATAATTTAATTAGAGAGTGATGCTCATGGACCTTTCTTCACAGAAAGGCCCCTTCATGGAATCATGAAACTACATATTCATTGATGTAAGGAGACATCAGCTGGTGGCTGCATTAAGGCCAGAGTAGCAGGTGAAATCGGGTAAGGGCAGGTAGCTGAGTGCACTGCAGCTTCCTGCACAGAAACCTAGCCACTCTCTCACCAAATGAGTCACCTCTGTCTCCTGAGATGGAATTAACTTTTTTTTTTTTTTTTAATTTTGGTATGGAAATTTAGTTTGGCTAGTGAGGTTCCCCAGACACAAACTTCTGAGGAATTTCTAATTTTTTTGCAAAATTTTCAACTGCCATTTGAAACCCTCCAAGGGAAAGCACAAGTCTCCTAAGAATAAAAGTGCATGCCTCAGGAGAATGTACATCTGTAATACCAGAGTTATGACAAGGAGCAGCAGGCAGAGAGGTACATTTAAAAGGGATGTTTTTAAAAAATCATGATGTACGATTAAAAGGGTGTTCTAGCAAAGGAATGCTCCCTGCAAAACAGCAATTAAAAATAAATCTTGAATCTTCTTCAAACTGCAGCTATGAATTCACAGAACATTACACGGGAAGGGTTCATGATGATAATACACATCTCTAGCTGTCAGTTTGTAGCACCCTTAAAAATGCGGTGGAAGAAAAGGACAAAAATCCTGCAGCAATGAGGATGCTTTTTAACAAATAATCTTCCAACTCAGTGAGAACCAGTGTTTGCATAACTGACAAGCAGGAGTTTCTGGGAGATTCCCACCAAGGCCTCCCAGAACCAAATGCCCAGTAGTGGAGGCAGGAATACAGAGAACAGCTGGTGTGTTAGAACTGATAAAGACTGTTTTAAGAAATGCTGCTGTTCTATTTTGAATGTAACAATCCTTCTGAGAATTAGCAAGATTCCAAGTGCAATTTGTCTGTTTAAAACTCTGAAACTTGGTCATTCTATACAGTATACTATTTGGCAGAGCTTCTAGAATAAATTCTACACCAAATTACTTCCAAATTATATTCTTAAGTCTAAAACTTTGTAGACTGAAAACATGTAACTAGTTATGCAGTTTGTTCCTGTTTTAATAAAAATAATTATCAATATTACTAGAATGCAACTATACCACAGAATCATTGAAAAACATGAAGCTTTAAGTCCAACTTTTTGTGGCTGATTTCTTTTAAGAACTAAACACTGGATTTTTTTTTTTTAACCAACCGAGTATTTGGGAGCACTGCAAGACAAATACCAAAAGGCTCAGGATATGTTTATATATTTTGTACATATGTTATATATAATTTAGATAAACAAAAATCATATGCCCTAGACTACATATAAAAGCTGAATCAATCAATAATGTTGAAATGACCTTACAGCATCACTTCTCAGCTTTTTTTTGTAATATTAATATTGCTTTCATGAAAGCCTTGCAGTCTTTATTTTTCATCTTATGCTGTATTGTCTCTTGTTCTCCTTCTGCAGAGTAACTGTACCTGGAATTCCTACAACTACCTGAAATACTTCAGCAAGCTCAGATGTTAAGCTCATTTTTAATTTTTCACCAAAAATTGACAAGGGCCATAGAAAGTAAGTAAGTTACACTTTCCTTCCTTTCAAAAGCAAAATCAGAAAGGTGAACCCACATGTTTGAGGCCAGCAAGTCACAACAACACAGGGAGAAAATTTGGGGATTGGGGCAGAAGTGCCCTGCCCTGTGCCTTAGGCACAGTGTGGGTGCCTTCAGCCTGGGAGCAGGGAGGGGACATTTCTGTAAGTAGGAGTCTGAACTCCATACCTGCGAGATTGCTCGTATGACTTTTTATTTCACTGTGTTCCTTGACAGACAGGTGGCTTACCCCTCCATGGAAATAAGCCTGTTCCACTTTGTGTTTATCTCAGGGCAGAAGCAAGGACGTAGGGACACACTGCAGAGGAACTCACATGCTCTGAATTTACATCCCAGCCTACCCCTGAGTCACTCCAGTCATGCCACGCTGCTGCACAGTGTTTCAGACACTGCAGCATTACGATATGAAGGAGTTCTGTACTCAGGTAGCAAGACTGTAGTCTAATTACACAAAAATACGTCCTCCTATGCACTAACAACAGTATGACAATAAATGTGATGACTCACCATACTTAAGATTTTTTTAATTGGTAAAATTTTATTAAAATGAATATTTCACTCTTAAGCCAAATACTAGTGATGTGACATTCTTGACTGTACCCATCACTGACTCCTCATCACAGACATCTCTTAATATTATCCATACACATGCAAACAAAAGCAGCACTCATGGTCTTTAACTGTAAGATTAAGAAGTGGTATCAGTAATAAAACATAACTGGGTTGCCACACGTTATTTAAAGTTTAAATAAGTTACTAGTGCATGGGAGCCTCTGGCAGCATTGACATACAAGGACCATTCAAGTCAGCGGAAATCTTCCACGTGTCTTGAATTGTTTTCTGATCCAAACTTCCATCCTGGCTTTGGCTGGGATAGAGTTCATTTTTCTTCCTAGTAGCTGGTACAGTACGAGAATAGTGCTGATAACACTCTGATGTTTCGGTTGTTGCTGGGCAGTGCTTACACTGAGCCAAGGACTTTCAGTGTCTCATGCTCTGACAGTGAGGAGGGGCACAAGAAGCTGGGGGGGAACAGAGTCAGGACAGCTGAGCCAAACTGGCCAAAGGGATATTCCACACCATAGAACATCATGCCCAGTATATAAACGGGGGGGATCAGCCAGGAGGGGCTGAATGCAGCTCAGAGATGGGCTTGGTACTGATCAGTGGGTGGTGAGCAATTGTGTTGTGCATCCCTTGTTTCTCTTGGGTTTTATTGTGCATGCTCTCTCTTTTATTACTATTAACAAATTTTATATATTATATATAAATTAACTTTAGTTACTAAACTAGTCTTATCTCAACCCACGCGTTTCTGCTTTTTTTTGCCCCCTGATTCTCCTCCCCATCCCACGGTGGGGGAAAGGGTAGCAAGTGGCTGCATGGTCCTTATTTGCTAGCTGGGGTTGAACCACAACTTCAGAGTAAGAATGAACCAGAAGCACTGTTAGATTATACGAGACAAAAGATAAAAAAAATAAATTAAGGAACCCATCAAGTTAATAACCTTATCTTCACATAGTTTTATTAAATATGCATCAATAGGCAAGTATCTCAAGATACTGTTTAAAAATATGCAAACACATATCTTGCAGAGCAAGAAACATGCAGAAATGAAATATAAATACTAAATGTTTCTTTTTTCATTCCCCTCTAACCAATCGTTGTGCACAGACTGTTGCTTAGAATTTGCCTGCTTACACAACATGCTTATGAGCAGCCTATAAAAATATAATTTCCTTTAAATCATGTGCCAATAAAATTCCCTTTCACTCCTCAAATTAAAAGCATAAAAATATCTACAGAAAAACATACACACATGTACTAGGGATAAATGCACAAATTATCAGACTATTATCACATACTCCCTTTTTGCAAAGGAAAAAACATTCTTCTTTAACAGCAGAATATTTTAACAGTCTGCAAAACTTACAAATATTTTAAGCCTCCCTAATGAAAATATTATTAAGTTGTCCTCATAGCTTGATTCAATACATTTTTATCAATATGGATGCTGGCTGTCAACCAAACCAATGTGGATAGAAAACCTCTATGTCTAATACAGAATAGGTAAAGACATTGCAGTATTTCAACCACTGATTTTTATGTGAAAGTGTAACTGCATACCACAATGGAACAGCATATCATACTGCACTCAGCTCTTTCTAACTGTGATTTATGGCTCATTGCTTAATCATAAGGCTAATAAATTCATTTTCTAGAGTAAACTCAAGGCAGAATAAAACAAATATAATTTCGGTGATCGTTAATTAAACAAAGGTGGTGTTATCTTTGGGATTTGGTAGTTCTGACACACTGAAGGAATAGTTTTCTTCTTCTTAGCTGTAACATACCACAATGAACCCTCTGTTCTATTCAACATAATTGCAGCTCAGAAGAAAATTGCTGAGCTACTGGCAATGCACTCCCTGCATCTAGGTCAGAGCATTGTGTTGTCCACTCTTTGCAAACTAACCAAGCTGAGAGAGACATTATAATGAGACTGGGATAAAAGGGCTTGCTAATCTTGAAGTGAAAGGGATAATAGGAAAGCCTAACAAAGAAAAACAGCCTAATCCATCACGGCATGGGTAAGACAAAGGAAGTATTCATAGTTTCTCGAAAATGTAGGAGGCTAAACAGCCAGCAATGAAGATAATTTCCCCAAGAACTATTTAAAGCCCTACTCAGAGAGAAAGAAGGAAGCTCTCTCTAGCCAGAAGGTAGGAAGTAGAAGCTTTCCTACAACAACACAAGCCCATCAAAATGTAACAAAGATGCATACAATCTAAAAAAATACACATAACTCACTTAAAAATTATTCATGCTTCCCAAATGCACATATACCACTGCCTCAGTGTTAGAAGTTTCCCTTCTCAATTTAGAGCTCTAAGTAACTAGCTAGATCCTAAAAACATAAGTATTTACAGGCCTTTCAACGCCTAACTCAGTCCTGGCAAACTCAAATGCAGACACTAAGAAAAATAATTCACGCATGCTCTAAACAGGTAAGGCTCCAAAAAATTATATGACCTATGAATAGTACAAAATAACCAGCATGTTTCTCACCCTCCACTTGTAGGAAAGTAATGCATTATTTAACCTCCAAGGGTTTCGGCAAATTTCCCTTGCTGCAAGGTAACCTCGATTTTGCAGTACTAATCCTTATGCTGCAAAAATATCGCAGTCTCCAACTCGGCACTGCACAGATAGACAGTGCATCCCTCGCCTCTCCTCTCTTCGCGTCTCTATGTCACCAGATGCAGAACTGCTTACCTGGAGAGTCATGATGCTGCGAGGATGGATGCCCAGGGAGCGGCCTCGTTCCTTCCGCGGCCGGGACGCGGCGCCTCTGCCTGAGGGCTCCCGCGGCGCGGGCGCGGTGGCGCTGGGATGGTCCCAGTGACCTCAGCTCCCGGCTGAGGCACGACACGGGCTCGCTCCCGCTGCGCCTCCCGGGCCCTGCCGGCACAGCTGAGCGGCTGCGAACCGCAGGGAAGGGGCGGTGGGGGCAGTGAGCATTAACCCCACAGTCGTTTCCTCAGAAAGCCTGAGCTCGTTTCCATACCACTGAGGATTAGGCCACCAGGCTCGGAGAGCAGCGATACAGCAGGATTCTCAAGCCATTTGTTTGAAAAAGAAATTTCTTGGGTGACTTGAACGGCAGCCAGCCCGGTTATTGCTGCTGGTCCCCTTGCTGCAGCCCCTGCCCGTGCCCACGCCCAGCCTGGCCTGGGACCTCGCATTGTCCAGCTGCAACTCTGGAAAACCTGCAGGTCATCCCGGGGAGAGATACCTCACACAAGCAGCTACACACACAAAGTACCTTGTGAACGCTGAGTTTTAATTTGTTCTACTAAATACAGAATAAAGAGAATATTAATTGATAAACTAGCCTACAACTGTAACCCTTAAAGGAAAAAAAATTTCATCCCTGCTTATCCTATCCATTAATAAATTATTTATATTCACATCTCTTTACATTTATGTTCATCATTCCTTGAGCATAGTCTGATCACAGTACTGTGTGTTTCTAAATGTTTTTAACCCACTAACTTCCATAAAACCTTGAAAAAGAGTGTTTTCTCTCAGAGCAAGTCCACCTTAAATTAAGCCAGGATTTAACAAGAAAAAAAACCATGTAAATTTCAGTAAATACAAGATTTTAAATAAATTTGAAAACAACTCTGAAGCAAAGAAGCCCTTATTCCTGCTGGGGAAGCTCTGCTTTTTCAGGCCCAGAAGCTGCGTGTAACCACACCGTGCACTAAGGTGAATGCAGAAACTGAATGTGCGTGTCAAGATTTGTTAATGGCTCGGGGCAGACTGTGAGAAACACTGAACGTAACCAGCCCTTACTTGTCATCTTAGTTACAGAATGTAATGTACGTGCGCAGTATGTTGCATTATTGCACTGCAGCGAGGTTGCTGTGAAGTCCCTATGAAGTACCCGGTGACTTGGCCACGATGCCGCTAGCTTACACATGACAAAGCAAATCTGCCTATGCGCCCATTATCGGGAGCGTTCAAAACGCGGGAGCGCCAGTGCTAAACCTGGGGTGAGACCCGCCTTCCACCAACGCAACGCGCTGTTTCTCCATGTGGCGCCGACCGGGCTCCGTTCGATGCGGTGCCATCCAGCGCTCTCCGCTGCCCGCTCGCCCTGCGCGCTCAGCCGCCCCAGCCGGGACCGGGACC